AGGGCGGAAAAATGGCTGCGGATCACGTGTCGGGCAGAAAAATGGCCGCGGACCACGTGTCGGGCGGAAAAATGGCCACGGACCAGATGTCGGGCGGAAAAATGGCCGCGGACCGTGTCATGGGAGGGAAAATGGCCGCGTATCCTGTTCGTACCCCGAGGCGGAGTTCGCAAACAGAAACAAAATTTTGCGGCCGGAGCTGGTCGTAACCTGAAAAGTTCGTTAACAGAAGCGTTCGTAACCCGAGGTTCCACTGTACCTGCAATGTGGGAAAAAATTAATTGCCTATTAGCATTAATTTTTATATGTAACTTGATATGCTTAATTTTTTTTATTCAATATTGTTCAGTTTCCTCCTTCCCTCTCACAATTATTTCACATACCCTGATTTTATTACTCATCTATTCCTAATAACTTTATTACTTTTCCCAGTTTCAGGACTTCTGCAAGCAACTCAATTTTAATTTGCTTTCATGTAAAGTATTGCTTGGGAGCGTTTCAATATTGAACAAGTTACAATTATATTTAAAGGAAGTCCCCATTAGTCTTTATCTGATTTTCAACAAAAATGTTGTGAATAAGTTTATTGTTCATTAAGAAAGCAGCAGATAATATTGTGAGATTTGATAGGTTATGCTTAGCCTATTTACAAGAGTGATAGTCAGAAAGATCATCACATTATTTAAGATTCAGGAAAATTCCATTAGTGTTTTGCTGATTACCAAAAATATAATACCAAAGTAGCTTTAATTTATATGATATATGATCCAGTTTGGTGTAATGGTTAAGGTGCCGGCCTAGAAACAGGAGACTGTGATTTTTAGTCTTCCCTTAGGCATGAAAGCTGGCTGGGTGACTGGGGCAGTCACTCTCTCAGACCAACCCACCTCAAAGGGTTGTTGTGGGAAAAATAGGAGGCAAGAGTATTAGGTATGTTCACCGCCTTGAGCAGCCATCCATCCATCCATCCTCTACCTATTCTAATAATACTCTTTAGATATGGTTATATCTGGTTTGTAAAATTCCATGGGACCGCTAGATGGCAGCAGTAAGTTCCATTTATATTGAATGAGACCATTGATGGATCCAGTTCAAGTACTGACTGGAAGTACAGGTATCTCTCCAGGATGTCAGACCAGTTTTCTCTAGCCATAATATAATATGCTAAGAATTTAATTTCAGGTCTTTAGTATGCAAAACTTTGTAACTGCTATTGCAGTAAGGTTTTATCACATAACAGTTTGATGGAGGGTGAAAGCTGATTCTCTGCTGCATTTTGTACACTTTTTGAATTCCTCCTACAGTTATGTTTTCTAGATGAGATACTAGAATATACCATCCATAGAAAAGCAGAATCTTTTTTTTCCCCCAGAAATGTTGGCTCTAATTTATTTTGTCACTTAAAACTAATTTCAGGACTTGTGGAGGATATATATTCATGCCAGTCTCTTAAATATATGCTATTTTTTTTCTAGGAGCCAACAAAGTTTATAGTGCTTAAAACACTTGAAATACTAGAGTATCAATTTTGTGATTAAATTCTATGTACAGTATTCAAACAATACACAAAATGCAGTATTCCTCCCTGTTAAAACGGCGGCATTCTATTGTTTTTGAAGCTTGCAAACTCTGTTGATTTCTGTGTTGCCATTTTACGAACAGTTCAAAAACAAGGAAGTGATTTTCGATACTTGTAGAAAAAAGAACAGTGTGTTTCATCTTGCTATATTTCCTAGCATGAAATGGAAATGGAAGGTTTTCCTGTGGTTACTGATAATATTATTATCATAATACTGTGAGGAAATATCTGTGCCTTTCTGGATTTCAAACTTCTATGCCTCACTGTTTTATAAAACCATCCTTTTTCTGTGATATAGTGGAGGGGAGGTAAGAAAAAGGGGACTGGCCTAAGCAACAGTGCCAATATGCAGCTAAAACCCTTAATGGTTTGGTTTTTAATAAAGAACACAAAGTAACCAGACCAGACCAATTAATTCTGGTCTGGGAACTAAATAACACTAGCTTGCATCATCTAAGAAGAAGACAGGGATTGCACGGGCATATTGGTGTAAATTTAAACTGCAAATGGGCAAAAGGGCCATAGAATTAGGGTTTAAACGTTCTTTTGTTTCTCAGATGCTTTAGTAGGTCACTAGACTATTTCCTTAAAGGAAATCAACCCTGACTGCTCGTTGGAAGGATCGATAATGAAGCTCAAGCTCAGATATTTTGGTCACCTAATGCGAA